CTTTGCCTAGGCAAAGGCCCTGTGGCAGGAAAGACACAATGTTTGAGGAACAAGAAATAGTCCAGGAGGCCATGGGGCTGGTGAGCCGTGAGCTCACCAGAGAAGGGAGAGAACCAAGGAGACTGGCAAGACCAATAGGGACTCTCAGTCCCTTCTCCAGCTGAGAGTCACGGCCCACATGTTCCTTGCCCCACCACCTGGACCACCTCCCTTCTCAGCAGACCCCCCCCCAACTGCTGTCTCCCCATCACTAGAGATGGAGATGCCCACCTCCTTGAGGAGGGGCCGGCCAGGGGGCCAGGCAGAGAGAGCAGCACGTCGGGAGAGGCCCGGGGTGGGGAGAGCCGAGGGGGAGGGGCGAGCAGGCCTTGCTGACCTGCCCGGTGTGGCTCGAACCCCCACATAATCCCCTCCTGTCTCCGCCACTGCCTCTGAGTTATTTTTAAAATCTCATTTTCAGAAAGTGGAGGAGAAAACCCTTCTCTGTTTTTTTCTGTGGAAGATTCAGAGAGGAGTCTGGAAAGAGGAACGGACCCTGGAGGACGGTGGGGGGGGGGGGGGGGAGGGTGTCCTGGGTCGTGCACCCACAGGGACCCAGGGTGTCTGCGGACCCTGGGCCGGCTCCGTCACATGCGCCAGAGACAGGGAGCAGGACCCCTCCTGGGGCAGCCTCCACCAAGCACATTTGGCGCTTTCACCCATATAATGGGCACCTATCCCGGGCTGGAGCTCGGCAGGGACACAGGGTCCCTGGGGACCCTCCTGGGGCAGAGGGTCCAGCGAGAGACCATGGCTAGGAACCCACAGGGGGATCCCCAGGACTAGGAGGCTGGGGAGAGACACGAGCCTGTCCAGGGCCATCAGCAAAAGGCGTTGGGAGCAGTGACAGGTGATGGGGGACAGGAAGGGTCCCAGCAGGCGGAGGGCTGCATGTGTGGGCAGAGCAGAGTGGGCCTGGTGTGGTGGCAGCACCGACTGACCCCAGGGACCAGGGTCCACAGGGGCCTGTGGGCGGGTCCTCTCACTGGCACCCACAGGAGGCTCAGCGAGGGGGTAACTCCCTGATCCAAGAAATGCTGGGGCCAGAATTGGACGCACAGGGTCCAAGGCCCAGAGGAAGGGAAGCCTGGAGTCCCAGCCTGCACTTGAGGCCATTGGAGGCCGGGCTCGCTGGGCTCCGTGGGTTTAGACATCATGGGAGGAGTTCCGAGGCTCAGATGGGGCCATTATGCTCCTGGGGGAGGGTCCTCTGGAGAGAAACTTGTCTGCCTGGCACCTTCTGTCAACACCCCCGCCTCGCAGAGGGGCCCAGCATGAGCTGGCACTCCAAGAGTTGATGTTGAAGCAACCTGAGCAGGGAGGATGAATGCTATGGGAGCCCAGGGAAAGCAGGGGTGGCCTCACAGAGGAGGTGACCTGGGCTGGGGTCTCTGAGGGCAAATAGGACAGCGCAAGGAGCTTCTTTAGGAAAGCAGGTGTGTGGTGGGGAGGGATTGGGTGTTAAGGAAAAACAAATATTCATGACACTTGTTGAAGACCCTGATTTGTTCTAGGGAGCACTATCACAGCAGGTGCAGGGACCCGGGCGCTGGGGTTGCGCGTGGGAGGGGAAGACTGTCTCCATCAGAATGAAGCAGGGGCCGTGGGACGTCCAGGCACCAGCGGCTATGGGTCGGCGGATGGACAGGAGGAGACGTCCGGGGCGGAGGCGTTCAGGCCGAACCCACCTGCCAGGATCCTTGCTGAAGCCAGGCCAGGTGGTCAGACCTCCACTGGAGAGGTGGGGGTGGGGGGCAGGATGAGGAAACCGGTCAGATGTGGAGGGCGGCCAGATGTCGGCAGCGGAGGATGGGGGCTCCCTGCTGAAACTGGAGGGCGCAGGAGGGCGCAGATGGGCCCAGGAGAAGGTTCTGGAGCCTGATCAAGCAGAGAATCTTGTCAAGGGCATTCCAGGGGCCAGGGGAGGGCACTGCACAAAGCCTCAGAGGCGGACCTGGCTGCAGCTGGGAGCAGGCAGGAGGTGGGAGGAGGGGCCTGGGTAGCAGAGCAGGGGCTGGGCTGCTGGCCCCGGGTGGGCCCCAGCAGAAGTGGAGCCGGAGGGAGCCTGTGCAGGGGCGTGGGGGTGGGAGAGAGCTGGCGCTCTCCCACAGCTGCCGGGCCCCCGGTGGGTAGCACCCCTAGGTTGCCCAGCCGCCTGGAATGCCACGGTCCCCTCCCCAGACGCCTTCTGGGCTGGGAGAGCTGCGGGGACGCTGCCTGAGGCCTGCCTGGGCCCGCAGCGCCACCTGCCGGCCGCGTGGGGAGGCACAGGCGGGCGCCTCTTGGGGCCTGCTCCGTACTGTCCACAGGCCTCATCCGCACCCCCAGCTGGAGCTCGGGGGGGGGGGGGGGGGGGGGGGGGGGCGTGGTTGAACTCGGCTCCACCACTGCCTGCTGGGTGACCTCCAGCCAGGTTCTCACCCTCTCTGAGCTTCATCCCAATGCAGGGGTGTGAGCACGCCCAGCTATGAAGAGCAGGCAGCAGGCTGGGAGCCCACACCCAGCCACGGCGCTGCTCCCTAATTCCTGGCAGGTTCCAGGGGACACAGGCACGTGGCACGGCCCAGCCAGCGGCACTGGACCCCTGACATCTTGCCGTATTCACGGTGAGGGGTGAGGGGAGGCGGACAAGGGTCAGATCTCAGCAGGTGACCCTCCCTGTGTCCCCTGGGCCGAGGTCCAGCCACAGAGGCTCAACTTCTGCCATCTGCCCCGATGTGACGCTTGAATTCCCCAGACATCCAGCCTCCCCCAAACCCTGCAGAGGCGGGAGTGCACGACCTCTGAAGCAGCTCCTTCAGCTTACCTGGGCCGGACTTGCCGGAAAGTTCTCCCTCGGAAACGAGTTTGCAGAAAACCTGCCTCAGCAGGTTGGCCGGGGGCAACTTAGTCTACAGTGTCGCAGGAACCCAAAAGGCCCACTGGGGCCTTGGGAAGGTCAAGGCCAGAACCTGCAAAGCCCCCAGGGCTCGTACCCTCCTCTGTCCCTTCCCTTCTGCCAGGACCCCTGAGCAGGGGATGGGCGGCCCTAAGGGGGCCCCACTCCCAGCCCCGAGGTCTCACTCTCGGCCCCAATTCCAAGTTCCCGAGTGGAGGGGAGACTGGTCGGGCCATCTTGCCCAATCAGCCTGGCAAATATCTAAAAAGGAGCTCTCCAAAGGGCTCTGCCCGTGGCTTCGTTGGTGTCCATGGAGAAAGTATCCCCCCACCCCGTGGCTGATGGTGGCAGTGTTCACGGAGTCGCTCAGGTGCTTGGTGGCTCACAGTAGCTAGACCCGTAGCTGTAAATCACCCCTAGGACACAGTGAGATCTGGTCCAGTGACCAGGAAGTGATGAGTTTGGGGTATTTATTACCTGTTGTTCATAAAATGCATTTAATTGTGAGCTGCTGTGGCTGTATTCAACAACCAACTCTCGAAATTGCTGCGTATTTAGGAACAGTCATGCGAGCCGTTTTGGGGGTGGCTGGGGCACATCCCCGGCCAAGGCCACCAGCCACAAAGGTGCCCGGGACACAGCCCCGGGGCCTGTGGAGGACAATTCTCCCAGACGGGGCTCTTACAAACACCCAGTCTGGCAGCTTCGCACAATCGGGCTCAGCAGGGCCCCTCGGTCATGAAGGAGTTTACGGGCCTGGTTCTCAGCGGTCCGCTTCAGGGTGCTGGAGGGGAGGAACTCGAGCTCAGGGCTCCAGGTAAACCCGGATACGTGCCGACCTTTTCCATTTCAGAGCGACCCGAGGCGCAGCTTCCTGTCTGGGCCTCGGAGGGAACCCCAGCTCCCAGCTCCTGGGCCTGCAGGAAGGTTTAAGGCTCCAGGTGACATTGTCAGAAGGGTGCCGGGGACCCGGTGAGGCCCCGATAAACATAGCACACTCCCTCCTCACCTGGCCCCTGCCAGCCAGTTTCCTCCCTCCACCTGGTGGGGACCGAAACACCCGGCCCACAGGACCCCAGTTAGACCTGGGGATGCCGCCCCCAAAGCCCAGCCTCCGTGCCGCGGGGGCACCTGTCCCACACCAGGCACCTCTCACGGAAAAGCAGTCTGAACGTCAGAACCAGCTGGGGGAGGGTGGGCATTGTCGCCCTGTTTGAAAGCAGTCACGGCCTCAGAGCAGTCATCCAGCCGGCAGTACCAGAGCTGGAGTTTGAACCCCAGGGGCCAGTGCTGAGGCCCCCGTGGCCTCAGGGGTGAGCCCTGGCTGGCTGTCGTCTCTGAGACTCCCCAGCAGGGCCCTGGTCCCGGGGACAGACTGTTCCCAGAAGGCAGGGGCTGAGTGCACTGTGTGGCTTCAAGGACCCCTTGAGGGAGATGGTTATGGGGGTGCAGGTCGCTGGCCCAGCAGCAGGTCCTGGCCCACAAGAGCCCCTTACCCCTGCAGCGTCCTGGCTCTTAGCCCTCCACTCACCAGCCCCACCCGCAGGGCCTCCAACAGCCGGATATGGTGACAAGGGGCCATGCTGGGTGTCCCCGGCCAGCCTTCTGGACCACGCTTGCCCTGCAGCCTTGCGACTGGACTGTGGCCCAGTGCTATGGGCGGTCACGAAGAAGCCTAATCCTGCCATGTCTCCCCAGTGCAGAGCATGGGTGACTTATCTATTGCTGTGCAACTAATGACCCCAAAACTTAGGGGCTTACAACACACATTCACTATCTCACCAGTGTCTCGGGTCAGGAATCCAGGATTAGCTGGGTCTTCGGTCTCAGGGCTCCTCATAAGCCGAGGTGTCAGCCGGGGCGGGCTCCGGGGATCTTACAGGGGACAGTTCAGGACCGGAGACAGGAGGGCTGAGCCCAGGGCCACGCCAGGAGCACAGGTGCACACACATGCGCGTGCCGTGCCCAAGCGCTGGCCCTGGGAAAGTGCCTTGAGCGCTAGAGCCATTGTGACCTCAGGGGTGAGGTCAGGGCTGGCTGGGGTGGGGAGGGGGTACCCAGAGATAAGGCTGCCCCGCTGGGCATGAGGACAGAGCTGGAAGCTGGGGCCTGTGGGTTCTCCGGACCGCACCCCAACACGGACAAGCAGAATTCGGAACAGTCACGCAGCCACGCCTCGGCCGATAGGACGTCGTCGGCCGTGTCCCAGAACCCCAGGTCAGCGCAGCACCAGGCTGGGACATGTAGGAGGGGACGTGTCCCCAGAAGGGACACCCTATGTCCTGCTTCCCCGCAGGCGCCCCGGCCCCTCCATCTTTCGGGACAGTGCCTCCCTGCGGGGCAGCAAGGGGCACCCTGGGGGGCATCTGGCGCCGAGCCCCAGGCCTTGAGCCAAGAAAAGAGGGGTCCCTGCAGCCAGGAGCAGCCGGGGAGAGGGTAGGATTGGGACCGAGCCCCCCCCCGGCAGCTCCTGACTTAGTGGAGAGGAGGATGGGAGGGGGGATATTGGATCCAAGTGCTGGCTTTGCCATCGCCCTGCGGGGTGGTGGTTGACAGCTTGTGGGGACCAGAGGTGTGGCTGGAAGCGTGTCACTGTCCCCGTCCACACGTGCCTACTGCATGAGTGAACGCAGGGACCGACGGACTGTCCGCCTGGTTCCCTGAGCCTCGGCTTCTTACCCACACAGCGGACGGTGGTACAACGGCCAGCGTCCCGGCAAAGACAAGGCGCGTCCTAGGGAAGGCTCCTCCTGGCCTCCAGGCGGGTGCTCCGGGGCGGCTCCACCTCCCGTGCCCGGGGCCCGGCGGGCTCCCTCCCCTGCCTCCCCAGACCCCGGGGTGCCCGCCTTGGGGGCCCTGGGCGCCCAGACCATCCCTGGGCGGGTTCCCGAGCAGGAGTCCTGCGTGCGATGCCCGTGGTGGGGAGCTGTTCCAGAAGGAGCAGCTTTGTGCTTGTTTGGAACTCACTTATTTTTGTGTGCGCGCAGTCGTCTCCACGTGTGTGTTGTCAGGCCTGTCTTCTCCTCTGCCGCATCTTGGATCACTTCTAAGGCGAGAAAACGCTCCCCTCTGCAGCTGTTTGCCTGACTACACTTCTGTCGCCTTCTGTATTTAAAAATATATTCCACTTTGGCCGTCACAGGGCGAGGATGCCGTTTCAGGGCAAGATACGGGCCAAGTGCTTGTGGGTGACACCGAGCCGTCCGGGTGCGGAGGGGCGCCGGGGACTCCAGCCCTTCGTGAGACGCCCCCAGAGGTGGCACCAGCCGGCCTCGGTCTGAAAGACCGCACTTTCTGGGAGTGGCAGGGAAGCGGCTGGTTTTCTGGCCGGTGGTAGGAAGAAAGGGTCGTCCAGGAAGGTTCAAGTGTGCGCTGAGCTCTGCTGGCCACGGTCCCCAGGCTGCAGGCTTCAGGCTCGGGCTGGGTCTGAACCAGTGTCGTTCTGCAGAGGCTGCGTGTGCGGGGACAGGTCACTGAACCTCTCTGTGTCTCGGCACCTCGTGGGGTTGGCATAGGCGGACGGCACGGACGTGATGGGGGTGGGGGGGCGGAGGGGCGGAGGTGAGGTGAGGTGACCAGGTGCAGCGGGGCGGGTGGCCGTCCCCCCAGAATGTCTCACTTATCCACCACTCAGTCCTTCGGCTACCCCATACCCTTGCACCAGGCACCTGTCGGACACCTGCACCCCAGCGGTCTCCCTGTCCCCAGCCGGCACGGCACCCGGCTTCCTGTCCGCCCGTCGCCTCTCCCCCAGGACACAAGCTCTCCAAGGGAAGGGGTTTCCGTGTGTCCTGTTCAGACGAACCCCCAGGCCCTGCAGCATCTCCTGGTATGCAGTAAGCACGTAATAAATCCTCCCTGAAGGAACGAGGCCGCCCCCGGGGAGGGCTCAGGAACCGTGAAGGTGGCCAGCCACTGCAGGCCGAGGGCCTCACCCCGTCTCTGTCCCCGGCACCTCGGAAAACGCTTTCATCCTGAGGATGGGCTGGCTGCATCCCGTGTCACCCACACTCCGACATGCAGAAATGCAACATCTCTGGCAGCCCCAGGAGTGTCCCCTGCGTGGCCACCTGGCTCCCAGAGGCAGATGGCGGGGCGGGGGCATGGCTATGGGGTGGAGTGACCATGAATGCCCTCTGGGAAGGCGGCTGGAGGAGGCCGGGCTGCCGGGAACAGCCCCAGGAGGACGGGAGGAGGAGGAAGCCACTGTGTGGGGAAGGCCCTCCTGGCAGCCCACCCTCGGACTCAGCCTCTCATTCATTCGTTCAGTGGACCTTCAAGGACAGCCTTCCCTGGGACGTGCTGGGGACCCAAGAACGGCCAGCACGTCCCCAGGGACACTGGGGAAGGAGAAGGGCCAGGGGCTAGTCAGCAGTAAGGGAGGCACCCCCACCCCAGGATGCTCTCCACAAGCCAAGAAGGCTGAAGGGGGGCATCTGTGCCTTGCTCTGAAGGGGACAGGAGAGAGGAGGAGGAGGAAGGAGGCAGGAAGGACGCATGCTCCGGGCAATGGGCCCAGGGTCCTGGGGAGCTGGGGGCTGTCACAGGGCTTCTCCAGAAATCAGGATGGGCCTGACCACAAATGTTACTGAGAACCTGTTGAGGTACCAGACCCTGCTCCCACGCGTTAAGGGATAGACTTGGAGACAAGACGTAAAGATCCCTGCCCTGGTGGCTACATTCCCGTGGGGGAAACAGTCAATACACCACCCGTGTAATACAGTAAATTATATAATGTTACAAGGTTAAAAGTGACGTGGAAGAAAGTTGAGAGGGTAGGGGGTAGAGAGGGCAGGGTGAGGGGTACGTTGCAATTTTAAATAAGTTCATCAAGGAGGTAACAACTGAGCTGGGACTCAAGGGAGGTGAGAAACTGACCCAAGCAGCTAGCTACCTGGAGGAAGGATGTTCCCCAGCCTGAAGGGACGGCCAGTGTAAAGGTCCTGGGGTAGAAACGTGCCTGCTGGTTTAAGGAGCAGCGGGAGCTCACTGTGACCGGGGTGGAGTAAAGCAGAAAGAAATGAGATGGGAGAGGGGGCGAAATCATTTTTGTTCTTAGAGATCTTGCTTTCTTTTTTATTGCGCTATAATTCATGCACAGTAAGATTCACCGTCCTCAGTGGGTCGCTTTGCAAGTTTTGACAAAGTCACACAGACGTGAAACCACCACCACAAGCAAGAGAGGAAACAGCTTTGTCTCCCCAGAATCCACCAGGCCCCTTAGGCAGTCAAGCCTCCTCCAGCTTCCCATCCCCGGAAACCACTAAGCTGTTTTCTGTTTAGTTGGACCTTCTTCAGGAAGTCATAAGAAGGGGACAATACAGTGCGCAGCCCTCAGGGGCCGGTCCCTGTCACATGGCATGATGCAGGCAAGAGCCACCCGTGTTGTTTCTCCGCAATGCATTCCTTTTCATGGCTGGTGAGTTTTTCCGCGGATGTAATACAGTTTCTTTAGGCACTCACCAGGCGGAGGACGTCCATTTCTTCTGGCTGGGGCTATGACAGGTAGCGCCGTGAGAAACACTCGTGTACAGCTTCTGTGGGAAAGGGAGTTGTTATTTTATCGGAGTGAATGCCTAGGAGTGGGGCAGCAGAGTGCGCGGGGAACCTCCTAAGAAAACACCAAGCCCCTCTCTCCACACGGCCGTGCAGTTTTGTGTCCTCACCAGCACTGCACGAAAGGGCCAGTTACCCCCCAACCTCACCAGCACTTGGTATTTTCAGGCCTTTCTCCCCCAATCTTAGCCATTCGAGTAGACGTGTAGCAATATTCCCCTTTGACTTGTTTCCCTCATGAGGAATGACGTCGAGCACCTGTCATGTGGATCTCCTTGGGTGGGGTGTCTATTCAGATCTTTTGTCTGTATTTCATCAGATGGCTTGCGCTGGGGTTTGAGTTTCTGTTTCGTGAGTGATGTGTATGTAGTCCGGATATGGATCTTTATCGGATACGTGATTTGCAAATATTCCCCCCAAATCCACGGCTTCCCTTTTCGGTTTTTTCTAGATGTCTTTCAAAACGCAGAAGTTCTTACTTTGGACGACATCCAATTTAACGTTCATTTTTTTTTTTCTTCTATGGATGGTGCTTTTGGAGGCACATCTAAGAAATCTTTGTCTAGCCCAAGATCACAAAGCTTTTCTCCTGTATTTTCTGCTAGAAGTTTGGAACTCTGGGTTTTACTTTCAGGTCTACGATCTAGAGTTCATTTTCGTACACAGTGTGAAGTATAGGGTGGGGCCCATTTTTTGCATGTGTATGTCCAATCATTGCACACCATGTGTCAAATACACTTCTTAACTGAATTACTTTTGCGCCTTTATCAAAAATCAGTTGGCTATGTACGCGTGAGTCTTTTTCTGGCCTCTGTTTTGCATTGACTATTTAGATAAATTTAGACAAAATTGCATCTTCACGGTATTGAGTCTGCTTTTTGGGGTTCTTTTTAATGTTTTTATTTATTTTTGAGACAGAGAGAGACAGAGCATGAGCAGGGGAGGGGCAGAGAGAGGGGGAGACACAGAATCCGGAGCGGGCTCCAGGCTCTGAGCTGTCAGCACAGAGCCCGACGCGGGGCTCAAACCCATGAACCGCGAGATCATGACCTGAGCCAAAGTCAGTCACTGGACTGACTGACCACCCAGGCGCACCCGCCCCCCCATTGAGTCTTCTGATCCATGAAGATGGTGTATCTCTCCACTTATTAAAGTCTTCTTGATTTCTTCTATTGCTATTTTATATTTTACAGCCCATAAACCTTGCAATTATTTGTTACCTAAATATCTCATGTCTTTAATGCTACTTTGGTAGCATTGTAGCATGGTAACTTTTTTTTAACTTTATTTATTTACTTAGAGAGAGAGAGATAATGAGAATGAGTGGGGGAGGGACAGAAAGAGAGAGTGAGAGAGAGAATTCCAAGTAGGCTCCACCCTGCCAGGGAAGAGCCCTATGAGGGGCTCGATCCCATGAACTGTGAGACCCTAACTTGAGCCAAGATCAAGAGTCAGACACTTAGCCAACTGAGCTACCTATACAGCACCTTTTTAATTTCAATTCCCAACTGCTTATTGCTAGTATAGAGAAATATGGCTGATTTTTGTACACTGACTTTATTTTTGCAAATTTCCTAAAGTCCCGGGTCAGTTTTGATAGTTTTTTTATAGAGTCTTTGGAATTTTCTAATTAGGTGATAACATCCTCTATATGTAGAGAT